GTATAAGTACCTATATCGATGTGTAGGGTCCATTTCATGAAGGAAGTTAGTTCGATAATATGTAACTCGAGTGCATGGTGGGCCACGTCTCGCTGCAGCGGTGATCTTCGGTGTGGCGATGATGATGATTCTGCACGGGACAGTCCTTTGTGTGATACACATGATTGTATGAGACGGAAATAAAGTTAAATAAGTTTTCCTAGACAGTTCAGTAGAAAAGCACTTCGAAAAATTCATACGGGCAAACCCGGAGGAAAGTTCGCATCAAAAATAAAATGTGTTTCTGCTTTTCTCGTTTAGTTATCTGAGAGACTAGAAATATGCAAATATACCTAGGTAGGTACTAAATGGATGAATTTGAAACACAAATCGAATCAAACTTCACTTTGTATAGGTAGCAACCGAGCGCTACCTGTTGCCGGCTGTTGCTACTTCCTCTACCAAGATAACAGTTATCACAAATCTCGCCAGTGACATGTTATTGATGATGTTGTTGGACACAAGTTAAAGGTTTTGCTCCAATGATTGCGTCACGCGATCAATCAATATTTGAAAACACTTTGTAGTAAATATCACGAGGATCGAATTAATGTTATTTTTTATGCAGACGGATAACCCGGCCAACTGGAGAGACGGATCGCTTGATGGTATGCAATTGGTACCGTCCATGGACACCCGAAACAACTGAGGTGCTACAGCGGTATTTCGGTGTTTTAATGATTGTAGCTACTGTAGATCGTGGCTTACAGTAGGTAGTTATTGAGTTTTTGGGAGCTTTTGTCCCATAAAAAGTGAGCTCCAGGCCTTTGAGGAGAGGAAGGACAGGTATTGGGCTTCCGGCAGCCTCACTCAAACTATACTGTATTGTTTTGTGATTCTATTATCGTTTGAAACTGAGAAAACGATAACTTAGTTATAATGAGAGTTGTGATTGCTGCTGATAATGAAACCTGTGGTGTGTGCACGTGTCTTATAATGGTGGGGTTTTATAGTTCACACTTACGGCCATTCTTAATAACTCACAACACATGGAGTATGGAAGTGAGGTACTATACCTGCAAGTTAGTTTGTCTCAAAGTTTATTAATATTTTCAAGATTTTGTTACTTTCTTTCAATTATATTGTTATGTTTGATTGCCAAATGTACTGATACCAGTCGTTAGCACTGACTTTCAGACGAATCTGTAAAACGTATTATCAATCTCATAATTTCAGTCCGAAATTACCCATTATTACTATATGATATACGTAGGTCTCACTTATTCTGCAGTAAAAGTATTTGCTCACATGATCAAGTAATTACTGAAAATAAAATTACGTCACTACGCTACCTACCTCCGTGGTTTAATCTTCTTTCCACACAAATATCGCAAGTAAATTAGCTACGTGTACAAGTAATGCTCACATTTCTACTTTAATGTTTCTATTACGGTTTTGTCGTGACTCTAAATCGACACTCGAGTTGTAAATGCGACGTAAAGTTACAAGTATTCAACACGATATTTGGTAGAAAGATGTCAAAGGTGTTTAGCTGTTTTAAACTCTTTAATATTTTAGATAAAGGCTATACTCGTGTAACACTAGATGGCACGTCTCTTTATTAAAACATAAGATACCTCCGTTAACTATCGAATTCCGCAAATAATTTCTCTAATAAAGTAATTAAAATACATTAACTAGGTATTAGTACGATCAAAGAATCTGGTCGTTGATAGCAAGTAACAACATCAGATGCTATCAGTTTACTTAATTAAAACTGGTTGCTTCTTGTAGAAAGTTGGGAGGTCTTTCTGTCGCCAATTACGTGTGGAGATTGGAACATATACCTAGTAGTACATTTTATAAATTCCAATCAGAAGCTAGTGGTACATTTCCGAATAATTTCTGTCTTGTCCATAAAATCGATTAGCAAATGATTTTCCTCATTTAACGTATTTCTACGTAAACAATTAATTATTTATCCTTAAGTAATTGCTTTATCGATCACACCATATTGACTGAAGCTATCGGATGAACTTATCTGAATTCGAGATTAATTTCGTTTTAAAATAATTCAGGTGATACGTAATAAGTCCTCGAGTAAATGTTTTGATAAAGTACTGTTACGTACAGAGCATACTCATTATAATGTGCAGTATGAAATTGTAATCAGATGGCGCGGAGTAATAGATTTGTGAGTGATATGAAAATATTGCGATAGTGATAAGATAATACGTAACAATGTTTATCAATATACAAGCGGTAAATTAAAACACCATCTGCAGTTTTTATTTAACTTTTTAAATGTTCATTTCCTACAACATTAACCATTATTACTTTTTGTCTTGCTTTTACTATATTTTTTACTTTTGCATTCTAAACTTATCGTTTAAGAAACCAATTCTCCCACAAAGGTCTCATTTGGGTCACTTGCAGAATTGTATGCCCTCCACACCAGTTTTACAACCGACCTATTCCAATGTCAGACCTCATCACAACCAGCTTTGTGGTTTGGTCGTGAAAGCAGAACAACCAATCGAATATAGAATTCATGTAACTATATGTATAAGTACCATACAATATAGAAGTAACAATGTTACTGCTCTCTTTTTGATACACAGAATATACACCTATCGGAGAAACACCTACAATACAAATACATGTTGCAGATAGTTCGTGCTACGTGTGTAAGTACCAGTAAAGGAGGTCCAGTACCAATACATGGCAATTTGGTCTGCACATTAGATATTACCTAGTCACCGCAAATGATCCGCCCGCCACGCTCCATCGCTCAAATTGCTTGTAAATAATGTAATTCCTTACTTGTGTCCGCCATTATGGATATTACGCGCGAAATTAGATAGCGATGTATGGTAACAGAAATTATTGATGCAATCGTTATAACGTTTCGCAAATTGTGATATTGTTTAACATTGTTATTGAAGGAACGACTGGGTTAGTCTATTTTATTCAGTTCATTCAATGTAGCTAAAGTTAAATTCAGTACCTTCAGAGTCACACAATCTATTTAGAAAACATCACAACCGATTAAGCTATTAAGGCGGTAAAGCGTGAGTATGCTCCAATTTTCAAAATCAGATAGCATTCGGTCAACAATATCCAACTTATTGTAAAATCTGTCAATCCAGTGGATGTCATAAATTATAACAACCCGGGTTACCGGGTGTTCGAAGTACTTACAGGGTAAATAAAAGATGGCCGCCAGTAGAGAGTCGTTGAAGGTGTAGTCCCTTATCTGAGTGATAGCCTCCGGGCGATTGAGCACGCGCAGCTTGCGTCACCGATTGTTCTCCGACAAGTAGACTGAGACTCGTGTCGCAATGATAGTGCGCCACTGCGCCTGCGCCCTTTATCGGTCGTGCCCTGTTTATTACTGATTAACTTTCCTTGTGATTTGCCGATACCTTGAGACAGGTTGGGGAAAAGGTCAAGTGAACAGGTTTCCCTGAACTGTACAATTTAATGAATTTCTCTTTAATTAAGGCATTCGATTTATAAAACCAAAGCATACTTAGTGACTTCAATATTAGCTGCGTCCCGTCATGTAGACGCCAATGTCGAACAACGACAAATTGTCTAGTAGTTATTTACAAGTTTTCGTTGTGGACGTATTTACACAAACAGAAAACAAAAACAATCGTTTGTGAAATAGAAAAACATCGTAATTCCTGTATAAATGTAAGCAAATAACTATCTAAAGAATTAACTTCATTGGACGATTATCTTAATGGACGCTGGTGTGCGATGCAGTTGGCGCACGAATATATTCCTTTTGAAAGTAACTCGAGGAATGTGTGACGTCGTTGGAGAAAGGATAATGCGTGTTCACTCGATCCTTGCCATAAGCGAATATCTTAACCTAAAAAGCCTCACGGGTTGTAGGAAGCAGTAGGAACGGGGTTGTTTTTAGTCAGTAAGAGTCTGACACTTCCTCTCGCCTCACCCGGGCGGGAGAAGTCATTGGATTTCCCCCCCCTCAAAAAAAGCCCTTGTAACAAAACAGTGAAGCATAAATCCACAAAAAGTTTGGTACTGGTTTATAGAAAGACGTGAAAATTGAGCTCAGCAGAGCAATGGCAAGATGTTGGTATGACTTGTGCATGTACTTTGTTAGACTGAAATAAATTGATAATGATAAGAAAAGTCAGAAAATGTTCAATAATTGGTATTAAAGAGCTTTGTGATTGTACTTGATGTCAAGGATGGCCAAAAACCGAAGCAAGAAATTATCGAAACTTCCGTCTAGCGCTTCCAGCATTTTGAAATTATCGAATATTAATTTATTAACCATTTACAATACATACATACATACATACATCTCCCATGGGGGTAGGCAGAGACTAGGGAACGCCAATTACTACGATTCCTACATACCTCTTTCGCTTCATCAACAGTCATCAATCTTTTCATGCATGCTCGTCAATTCAATCCATTCACAATATGCAAATCTATTAACAGATAATAATTGTTTGCTAAGTAGAAGCTGCCAAAGATACTTGTTTGTTAAAAGATTTTAGTATCGATTACATAAATCGCTTCGTAGCCTCGCAGTAATGATAGAATAGGATTACGTTAACATCTATCTGATTGTAAAACAATAAATGTTATTGGCATTGTCTACATTATGGTAGATTTATTATAGTTAAGACATTATTAGTTTTATTGCAGCTGTTATATTACTTAGATAGCGTCATTGATATTAATTCATGTTCTGCAATGTCGGTTTCATTTTTCGCGCTTCCTAGATGGCGCTGTCGATGTTTATGATGATTTTTGTAAAATGATTATTGCTTTAAGCTTTTGTATTATTAAATGTCCGTATTTATGCAAAATGGAACCACACAGCAAACACACACTTTTGAGATATCAAAGGGTTTACAAAAACATGTGCAGCACTGTTAAATGAAGTAAAATTACTATTACTTTTATTTAAATATGTTGATAAATTACTAAATTTAGTATGTGTATATAATTTTTTGTTGATTACTGGTAAACCTTCAAAATAATTAAGAAATCGTGCATGTGGTTCCTTTAAACATTAAGTAATTAATATGTTTTCTCATATACAAAAAAGAACCACAATCTAGGGATTTGTTGATATAAATGAAACTATGTGATTTATAATCGGGATAAAGCTTTAATTTATCAAAATTACACGTTTATTCGACGTTATCATCAAATTGAATTTCAAAATCAACCGTGTCTAGTCCATCTATGTCGTCTTCTATAGTATTATCACAGTCGAGACCATTATAAAAACTCTGTGCATCTTGTGGTATGAGATGTAATATGGATTGAATATCGGCTAATTTCGCGGGTGATACTGGCTTCCCTGACGGCCACAAGGGAACTAAATGTTCCATTAAGATTAAAGCTGGTCTGCCACGAACAGGTGCTCTCCCTATATTAACTTCTACAGCATTACCAAAGAAGTCGGTTTTAAAATAAATTGAGTTTGGTGAGTCTCTTTCTATGTATATTTCCCGAGCTTGTAGCCAATTAATACATTCTTTGTTAATACCACGTTTTCTATTAATAATCATTTTTTCAACCTTAGAAGATCCCAGAAAATCTGATTTTGCCATCACTGTCACTGTAAGAGGGTTCTTTTTCTTACAGTCTTTCATAACTTGTATATAATCATCAGGAGTGTATAATCTCGGATATTTTTTCATTGCAGATTCAATGTGGGAAAAATCTCTGTCATTGGGTAGGTAACTATGTCCGGGAATCAAAAACTTTTGTGTTATTTTTTTCAATGTGGGATGACAATGCAAAAACGCTTTTAACATCAAAACTATCTTTATGTTACGATTTTGTCCGCCACACGAATCGCTCCATAAAATTAGTTCCTCGACATCTTCAGAAATATGCTCGCCTAAGTATTTTAATAGACAAGAGCCGACTTCCTGAGCACCCTTCCCAGCCATTCCTTCTATCCAAACAAAACACCCACTTGAGTTGGTTTTTGCCGAATAAATACCCATATTATACAGCCAAAGCTGTCGTTTATAGTAAATAATTCCAGTAGGTATCTTAGGCATTGGAAGCGTTTTTTGTAGATCAAACGTGAGACATTCTATTTCCTTACATTGAGTAGCCAGAACAAAATCAGCCTTCATTTTATTCCGCGCCTGTTCCCATTTTCGGCAATGTTCTTCGCGTTCTGTATCTATGGCTATTTTTTCCTCAGCAGTTTTGCAATGAGTTAATTTTGCTTGTAATGTGTCACACTTGTTACACGTGTCTTTTTTAAGAGGCGCTCGTTTAAGATTAAAATATGTGTAAAATAACTTTGTGTACATAGCCTTACTAACCTTCTCAGCTTCTCCTACATGTTCACAGTATAAATCGTACATCTTGTCTAAAGTCATGTCTGGCATAAGATATTCGGTCTCGCGCTCACTTCTTCTATAGTGTGATTTATACTTAGGAAGAGAGTTTATATGATATCTTACTTGGGAAACTAATTCATCGCTGCATTTGTTCTTACCTCCACTTTTCGCTCCTCTTTTATCTAAACAATCTTGTGACCTCATTTTAGTCAAAGCAGTATTAACTCTCTTTGTAGAAACACCAAGTGTTTTGACAAATAAATCCCGGCATACTTCGACTTTATCTAATAGATATTTACGAGAGAATTTTTTCTTCATATTGCTATTAGTCATCCTTCTTTTAACGTCGGCTTCTTTGACGCTTGCTGCGATGTACATATTCTGGGTATTGTAATTTTCTAGTTTGTAAAAAGTCTCAAATATTTTATGTCGATTGTTTGAATCTATTTTTTCCCAGCACTTTGTTTTACAATTACATTTATAATCAATAAATACTTTCGGTTGGACTTCGATGTTTTTATAGTTGTGAAAAGCCTTATTAGAATGTCTGTTTCTCTTTCTTTCCATCCTAGATAGACCGCCATACTTAAATTGTCTGCCTTTCTTTGGTCTTCCTTTCGTAGGTACTTCGTAATTAATACTCACTGTATCGTCATCAGAACATGGTATAAACGGTGGTGATTTTGCAGTATTTTCGCCTTCAGAAGCAGACTCTTCTATGATAGTGCGCCTAGACTTTCCGTTAGGTAGCCTCATTTTCTTGCCGCCAGCAACTATTATGTCATCACCATAATCTGATGAATCTGATACATAGTCAGGACTTTTAAAAGGGGACAAGTTTGCAAGTAGGTCTAATATCGGCGAGGAATATTCTTCTAAGCGATCTGGCGAAGTTAAGTTATTGCTTAGAGGTGAAGAAAGCTTCTCTAGAGCCTGTGACGTACTAGGTTCTTCACAACTTTGTGCTGTAATAAAAAAAAATCATAGCTTTACAACAATAACGCGTGGTTCTATAAATATATGGCCACAGTGAGCGACAACGTTGCCAGAAGGGTAATGAAACATACGGCCACATAGGGCAAATGTCACCTAGTGTGAACGCGGCTTTACGGTTCTTCATAAAGTAGTAATACATACACACGCATACACACACACACACGCGCGCACGCACGCACGTACGCACGCACGCACACATCCACTCTCTCATTATTCACATCAACCCACCACATCACCAGAATCATACCCAAGTCTTTCATACCTCAGCACTCATCATTACGTAGAAATGTAAATATAAGTATTTCATATTACATACATGCATACACACACACACACACACATATCGTTACAATCATAACATCATACGAAACAACGCCGCAGTTCATACGGTGCATTCGTGTGAGCTCGTAGATATTATTATTTGCTATGCGATTTTGCAGTTATATATGAAAGCCCTTATACCTACTTGTAGAATAATCTTTATAAAATCACTTCACAAACGGAATTAATCAAATGTGGATAATGCGCAGGTACTTGTACTTCTCAGATACATTAAACAAGTATTAAAATGCATTAAATAAAACTATTTACCTGTTATGGCTTCATTAGTATCTTCGGTGTTTATATCCAAAGCTTTATTCACCAACAGCTTGCCTCTACGTAACATTTTTACACTTAATTCTAAAGAAATAAACAAAAACAACAGAACTTTCTTTGCAGAGAAAAAAAACGGTCGTCACGCATTCGAACTATTTCGTTGAATGCCGCCTATTTTGACAGATGACGTTTGACGTTTTACTTTGAAACTGACTTATTGCACTTTGAGTCATATCACCAATGAAATAAAGTAAATATTTCGTTGTTTAAAACGAGAAATATTAAATCAATCATGTCATTTTTGTACCTTTGAGTGATCATAAGTTTCAAAACAATAAGCATAATGGAATCACATGCTAGTGGTTCTACTGTTTAACAATATTTATTTATACATGATAGAACCGAATGTTTGTGGTACCCTTTTGCAAAACAATATTAGCAACTAAACAATAAAAAATTATTTTACGCATAACGATACCACAGAAATTTGGTTCTATTTTGTGTATTAAAAATAATCGTTAATAATAGAAATATGTTTGATGTATAACGGTACCAAGTATGCGTGGATCTTTTTTGTATCAAATGACATGATAGTACTAACGTTTATTTGTTTGATCAATAGAGTCATATTGTGCCGTGGTTCCGTTTTGCTTTACAAGTAACGTTTGTTATTGCTGTTGGTTCTGTTCTGCTTTTAATATACCTTCTTTCCAAGGGGAAAATCATGTGGTTCTTTTTTGTATAAGAATTAAGACCACTTTTACATTAGTATTCTTCAAAAAAAGTGAAAAACGAAATTTGTCGAGTGGTTCCATTTTGCATAAATACGGACAAATGTTCTATTAGAAAAAAGATGACTACACTACACCTTATAACTAGGAACGGAATTATGTTGGGTTGTGTAGATAAGTATGTCGTGATCACACGCGATATAGAGATGTCCATATAAATAAATGTTACTTTATATCAGTTATGTGCAACACATTCGAGTAGGAACGTTTGAGTAACTCATTGAAATCACTAAAGGTCATACTCTGCCATATAAAAAAGGTTAATCCAATCGATTATTGCAAGAACAATACAAGTATAAATCGAATCATGATATTTAATCGATACATCTAGATATTTATTTTTGTTATAATACAAGTTTTGGAAGGTACTTACGTGTATATGAAATAATTGCTAACTGTAGGTACCTATTACTTTTTGGCTATAGGTGAACTTTTCAATAGATCTACATACGTACTTGATATATGACTGTATATGGTAGCTAAAATTGCAAAACACTATTCATGGACTCCGCCCCATAAGTTAGAATTTCGAAATCAAAAAAGAATTTGTATCAGAGAAGAATATAGTTTCATCATCATTTTTTTTGGTCAAAGTCGAAACCATCTTTTCACTTAAATTAATCTCATTGTACTTAATCTTCGCTAACATTTAGTTGATAGTGAATTTCTCAACTATTGGGCATTTGTTGTGTACTACATGAATGGAATATGTCCTGTCAATAATAACATTGTGATTCATGACAGATTTTGTACTCGTATTGAAAGATTTAATAAATATTTCAGAATTTAATTCAATTCAATTGAATTGCATGCCTTTTAATTTAACAAGTTTACATTTAATCTTATAAACATGTTAGCAGTGTCTTTTGCTAATCCACTTTAAAGGGAGATAACCCAAGATGGGCTTAAATTTAATAGGAATCTTAGAATTATCTAAATCTAGTTGTAGATAAGTACTTAGAACTAATAGACCCTAGTGTCCGCATTCCAAGACATCATTCGTCAGTACTAGTAGCCTGCGGATGCATTAATGACATTGATAGACATGCCTCAAGGACGATGCTAATCTGAATGTCATGTTGCCAGATACCTCGCCATTAAGTACTGACATTGAAGAGTACTAGGATTAATGTAAAACTAATTAATTACTCATCTGTCTATAATATAATGTATAATGTATGTGTAGTCTGCTACTTGTATGCTTATCATACCTACGAATGTAACGAATTGTGATTTTCACAAGGGTGTGCTTATTGAAATTGTATTATTGTAGTTCTGCTAGAGACGATGGCTAATTTTATGTTGTCCTTCATCTGGCCTGTTACTTTTCTATATCGTGAGTTGGTTGGTAAATTATTTAATTCATTATTTATTTTAGCACATGTTAAGCAATTCGTTAAGTAGCGATGCTCCGGTTGCGCACTGGCATCTCTCAAATTAATTGATCTAGATGAACATTACTCAGTTATTAAATTTGCAAGCATTTTTCATGAATCTTCTCGTTATATTTAAAACTGAAATTAATTATTTCCTGTGTGGAAATATGATTCAGTGAATGTTTTCAGGTTATTTATAATTAATAGGATCGTACAATTGCAACTAATTAGTCAGCTGTGTTACACAATCTGCCTGGAAGTGGCGGTCTAAGTAAGTGTGTGTATTATGTAATGTGTCATTCACACACACACGTACACACACATACGTACATTCATAATTATCTATTTTCTACTCATTCTGCGTAATTTTAGAACTAACAAACAACCAAGTTATTTTTAAAGCAACATTCATTTCAGTTAGGTGCTCTGTTACTATTCTTATTCCGATTGTAAACAGTTGTTTTTAACTGTTAATAAACCTGTCAGAACAATTCGTTTCATGTGTTTATAATAATACCTTTTTCGCAAAATGTGTATGAAAAAGTAAGGCATAAGACCCCAACTACGACGACGACCAGAACAAATGCAAAGATATTTCTAAAATTTTCAGCTTTGGTGAATTCATGAGTATTGTTTGTCACACATATAGTTTTCTCCTTTTCGCAATTAATCGGCAATACTATAACTCATATTTATTCGTACTGTTGCAAGTACGTGCGAATATGCGAAGCTGAACTTGTTTCATTACTTTGTTCTTTTGTTAGTTTATTGATTTCCCGTTTCCCGTGACTTCAAGTTCTGTGTACAACAATAATGATTTGTCAACAATAATAATATATTTGTCTTCGATTGATCTTAGATAAAAGTAAAATCACTGCATAAAGTTTAGTAAAACCTATCAAAAATTTCTTTGAAAATCAACATTGACAGTTTATCTCCTAGTCCGTCATTTAGTTGCTTGAGATGATAGGTTTATATTTCCTATGGAATACCTAATTACGATATGAACGAGTTTACTTTGGGTTGTAAGTGTGTAGCTTTTGTATACTTTTAGTATTTATTATAGATGACAAGCCAGTGACTGCCTCGTTGGCCGAGTGGTCGCAAGTGCGACTGCCGGGCAAGGGGTCTCGGGTTCGATTCCCAGGTCGGGCAAAGTATTACAGGGTTTTTTAAAATTCTCAGTAGTAGCACGGAGTCTGGAATTGTGCCCGGTATATGGCAATAGGTTCACCCTCTATTACATGGGACTCATAACATGAATAGTGAACAGTGGGTATTACACTAAACAGTGGCATAATGTGCACCTCTGCCTACCGCTTCGAGGCGTGATGAAGTGAATACCTATCTCATGAAATGCATGATGAAGATACCAGTGTGACTATCACTTGGAGAGTTCCCAACTGTTGGCCTCAACCCAGTTGGAAAAAACCAGAGTGTAGGTAATGTCGAAACAACGCTTAACTTTTTGTCATCAAGTATTTTAGCAATTTGTATCATATATACCATTAACTGCAAACTGCAACTATATTAATAGATGCAACTCGTATTTACCAATCTACATACTTCTGGATTTGTTAATCATCATCAACTGACTTGAGTTCATTTATTCTCATATCAAGATGATATTGAGTGCATTGAGCAAATTTATAATGGTAGAAGTTATTACAATCTGGTTGGAATTTGGTTTCATTAAGATTATAAGTATTGCAAGTTTCGTAAGTAGGTAAAACTGTTTTTTGAGAAGATTCACAGTTATTACACGTAAGTAATAATTCTACTGGGTGATTTAGGTATGTTTTACGTTACTTTTTGGTATATTTGTCTATGTAAGTGCCAGGTAGAGATCGTCTCGATGACAGTATGGGGTAAACCACAAAAATGAGTGAGCAATATTGCTTAGGGAAAAATAAATACAGATTTTATTAAGTGCATATGATTACTAATACAAAAGCTTTGGCCGATTCAGGTATTGAATATAGGACCCAGTCAATAT